GGGAAACCCTCTTACACTGTTGGTAAGAATGCAAATTTGTGTAGCCACTGTGGAAAACAGTATGGAGGTTCCCCAAAAAGTTAAAAATAGAACTACCTTTTGATCCAGTAATTTCACTACTAGGAATTTACCCAAAGGATACAAAAATATGGATTCAAAGGGGTACATGCACCACAATGTTTTATTATCAACAATAGCCAAACTGTGGAGAGAGCCCTAATGTGCATCTACTAATGAATGGATAAACATGTGGAGATGTTGTGTATGTGTGTGTGTGTATTTGTAGATATACACACACACACATACATATACACACACACACACACATATGTATACACACACATACATATACATATACATACATACACGTACATACATATATATTTAATGGAATATTACTCAGCCATCAGGAAGAATGAAATCTTACCATTCATAATGATGTGGATGGAGCTAGAATGTATCATGCTAAGTGAAATAAATCAGAGAAAGACAAATACCATATGATCTCACTCATGTGGAATTTAAGAAAGAAAATAGATGGGGTGCAGTATGTTAAGCATCCAATTCTTGGTTTTGGCTCAGGTCATGATCTCAGGGGTCCTGGGATCGAGCCCTGCTCCATGATCAGTGTGGTGTCTTCTTGAGATTCTCTTTCTCCCTCTGCCCCTCCCGTTTGTGCTAAGTAAGTAAGTAAATAAATAAATAAAATATTTTTTTAAAAGAAGAAAGAGAATTGATGAACATATGGGGGGAGAGGAGGGAAACAAACCATAAGAGACTATTACAAATAGGGAACAAACTAAGGGTCGATGGAGGGAGGTGGGTGAAGGATGGGCTAGGTGAGTGATGGGTATTAAGGAGGCACTTGTGATAAGCACTCGGTGTTGTATATAGAGATGAATTATTGAATTCTACTCCTGAAAACAATATTGCATAGTATGTAAACTAAAATTTAAATTTAAAGAAAAGAAGAAAGAGAATCTAAAACACCCCCCCCAAATTAGTGTAGTGACTATAAACCATCCAGATCTAACAGACATTTCAAGAATACTCCACTACCAATAGAATATACACTCCTTCACTGTGCAAGGAGCATCCTCCAGGATAGATAATATGCCAGGTCATAAGACAAGCCTCAATAAATTTTAAATGGTCTGAAATCATACTAAGTATGTGTTTTCCACTAACAATGGAGTGAAGCTGGAAATCACTAACAGAAAAAATTTTGAGAAATTTATGAATATATGAAAATTAAATAACACTTCTTAATCCAGGGGGGTCAAAGGAATTACAAGGAAAATTAGAAAATTCTTTGAGATGAATGAAAATGAAGTCCAAACATTCTAAATAAGGGATGGAAGTATAGCAATGTTCAGAGGGAAATTCATAGCTACAACTTCCTACAGCAAAAAGGAAGAAAGATATCAAATCAAAAAGCTAATCTTCCACCTTAACACAGTAGACACATAAGAGAAAGCGGGAGCAGTAATCAAAAGGGTCTGAAATGGGCTAAGGAGATGGAATGGAATGAAAGCCCAGATAGAGAAGAACAATTTCTCGTAACTGGCGCAGAGGAAAGTATGATTGTTTCTGTGTTTGCAATAAGAGTATAAGAAGAGTATATATACCACTTCCATCTGTTTTCTATGTGAAGGTGGACTTGAGGTGAAGCTAGATATGAAGTGACTAAAAGGACAAGGCATTAGAGATTTGAAGAACAGTCCCTGTATAATGTGGTTGGAAAAATCTGTGTATGGAGTTGACTAGAGAAAATTATTAGTAATGTCAGCCCATTGAGGATCCTTTGGAGGCTGGTAGGAGTGTATTAGAGAGAACTACTGAGCTGCCCTGTTGTGTGATTCCCTCAGCTGCATTTGGGTCTGCAGGGAAGGCATAGAAAAGGCAAGTGTTTACGCTCACATATGGCTAGGATTTTTGCTAATCGGGTGAGATGAAAGATAAATGGGCAAGAAAACTTAGGATGTTGAAATGCTAGTCCGTGGTCCATCAGCTAGATAAGGATGGAACTAAAGAAAGTAAAAAGCTAATGAATAGGGAGCAAGTAGAGGAGTCAAGGAACCAGAGTCACCAGGAGGTCTAACAGATAGCTCCAAGAGGGCGGGAGTCTGTTCTGTTTACTGATGTGGCCCAACCCCCAGAATAGTGCCTAGCACATAGTAAGTGGAAGATACTTTACTGAACAAATCACCAGGAACGATCTAGAGGTGGGATCATTTATAATCAAGCCAGAAGAACGGAAGGATGTGGTCAGAGTCAAATGAATGAATGAGTGATGGAGGAGGGAAACCATTATCACCATTATCAAAGACACCTCATGATGTTTGATGTGCACGTGTGGTAGGTTCTTGGTAACTGTTGGCCTTCATCATTTCTTTTTCTTGGCCTGTTATAGGAATTACTTACTTTTAAAGAAATAGAGTCATTTCTCTACAGTTGGATGAGTTGACCTTTTCCAAATAACTATCTTTTTTTTTTTTTAAAGATTTTATTTATTTATTTGACAGGCAGAGATTACAAGCAGGCAGAGAGGCAGTCAGAGAGAGGAGGAAGCAGGCTTCCTGCTGAGCAGAGAGCCCGATGCCTTCAGGACCCTGGGATCATGACCCAAGCTGAAGGCAGAGGCTTTAACCCACTGAGCCACCCAGGCGCCCCCCAAATAACTATCTTTTAAAGCCACCGGAAACATCAGGACTGTTAGATTCTGCCTCATGTGGGTGGAAGAAACCAACAGAGTACTTGTAGGAATTCCCTTCCCTTCCAAGTTAGCCCTGTCTAGTTGTGAAAGCCAGAAGCCCACAGTACTTCCAACGCTTCCTGTCCTGTTATTTTGCTTATCACGGGTGCGGACCTTTTTATGTTTACAGTGCTGTATCACCTCTCTGAAGTATATGGACCTTTCAGTAGGAGGTCAAAGGCCTCTCTTTTGCCTTCAGTATAGGCATACCTCATTTCCCTGTGCTTCGCTTTACTGCATTTCACAGAATTGTGTTTTTTACGAAGTGGAGTTTTGTAGCAGCGGCACATCAAGCAAGGCTGTCAGCACTATTTTTCCAGCAGCATTTGCTCACTTTGTATCTGTCATGTTTTAGTAAATCTCACAAGATTTCAAACTTTTTCATTACTATTTGTTAGGGTGATCTGTAATCAGTGATTATGACTTGCTGAATGTTCAGGTAATGGTAGCATTTTTTAGCAATCAAGTATTTTTAAATTAAGATATGTACATTGGGTTTTTTTTTTTTTTAAATATAATGCTGTTGCACCTGCAGTAGACTACAATATAGAGTAAACATGACTTTTATATGCATCAGGAAACCAAAAAAGTCATTTATTGTGATACTTGCTTCATTGCAGCGGTCTGGAACTGAATCCGCAGTTCTCCAAGCTATGCCTCAAAGGGTCTGAAGTCTCATTTAAAATTAAGGATGGCTGTTTGCAGAAAGAAAGTTTACAGAAGGAGGCTGAAATGATCGTCTTGTGTTTAAACAGTGCCAGTGTTTTCCCATTTAGCTAAATTAATGGAAGAAGTATTCTGATTTTGAGGATTCACCTCTTTTTTGGATGCCTGGCCATAATATTTACCCTGTTTCTCGCCCACACCCCGTTGTGTAATTACTTGTACACAGTCAATAATAGGTCAGTGCTGACAGATCTTTACTTTTTGAATACACAGTCCTCTGAAATGCCCTGCCCTCTACCTCTTTGCCTGGTAAATTTCTTTTATGATCTGTGTCAAATATCTCCTCCCAAACCATCCCAGCTCTTACAGGCAAATGAACAGGCCTCTGTCCTTAGAGTAGTTCACACTAATTTCTATTACACTGCCATTATTTATTTGTATATCTGTTTCTGTCCTTGCCTTTTATCTACCCAAGAGCAGGGAATTTTTTCTATTCATCTTAGTGTCTGCAATGCCCTGTGTGTGCCTGCCATGTTTGAAGTACTCCAGAATTGTCTGGCAAATGAGTTTGACAGCAAGAAAACACATTTACAAGTACTTTGTAGACTTCAGTTGTAAAACCGTGCCCTCTAAAGGACTTTGCCTCTTTAGAGTTTTCAGCAGTTAGGACACTGCTGTTATCTGAGCAATGATTAATTGATTATGACTCTATGATCCAGCCAGTAGATATAATTAACTTAAAGAAAAGTTAGCCTTTTTTCCTATGCCAACTTATTTAAATTAAACATAGCATATAGTTGATACTCAGTGTAGATTTAATAATACAGATGTCCTACCAAGATGTTAACAGTGACCATTATGGAAGTGGTGGTGTTTTTGTTTTTAACTTTTTTATTCAGGTGTAATATTTTTCATTCTTTGAAATTTTCTATTTCAGTATATGTATTGTATATTTTCCAGTTTTAAAAGCTACGGTGCATAATGAAGACAGTTAAGAAAAATAAATGCGGGCGCCTAGGTGGCTCAGTGGGTTAAGCCGCTGCCTTCGGCTCAGGTCATGATCTCGGGGTCCTGGGATCGAGTCCCACATCGGGCTCTCTGCTCAGCAGGGAGCCTGCTTCCCTCTCTCTCTCTCTCTGCCTGCCTCTCCGTCTGCTTGTGATCTCTCTCTGTCAAATAAATAAATAAAATCTTAAAAACAAAACAAAATTAAGAAAAATAAATGCTATGATATAATTTGGAACCACTCTGCTGGGTTACAGTGGACCAGTCCATGCTTTGGTAACAAAGCTCAGTGGCTTAGAAAAGCAAATGTTGATTTGCTGAGGGGCAGCTTGGGGTCTTTTACACCCAGTGTCTTAGTTCCAAGCCTCCCTCCATCTCAGAGCAGCTTCTGCTGTTGCTGTAGCCAGGGGAGGGACAGGTGGGGGAGACTTGCCAGCTCCCAGCAGGCTCAGCACGTGTCCCTTTGCTATGGCCAACATGAGTGCCATGGCCCCAAGCTTCCTGCAAAGCACTGTGGAAAATGTGGAAGAATACCAGTTGTCTCTAACATGATGTAACTCTTCTTATTTTACAGTTACTGTAACGAATGTATGTTGGATCCAGACTGTGGTTTCTGCTACAAGATGAACAAATCAACTGTCACTGACTCCTCCTGTGTTCCAGTTAATAAGGCATCTACAAATGAGGCAGCCTGGGGCAGGTATGTCACCCCTTATACACCATAAGAACACAGAATAGAATTTCAGAACGAGATCTTGTTTTATTATTGATTATATTCCCTATGCAGTACATTTCATCCGTGTGATTTATTTTATAACTGAAGTTTATACCTTTTAATCCTGTTCACATATTTCCTTCATCCATCAGCCAACCTTCTCTCAGGCAACCACCAGTTTGTTCTCTGTATTTAAGAATCGGTTTTTTGTTAGTTTGTTCATTTGTTGGTTTTTAGATTCTGCAGTTGTGAAATCATATTTGTCATTCTCTGACTGAGATCACTTAGTATAATACCAATGTGGTCCATCCATGTTGTCACAAATGGCAAGATCTCATTTTTTTTATGTCTGAGGAGTATTCCATTGTCGTGTGTATGCCCTGTCCTCATCCAGTCAACTATTTTGGACACTCGGGCTGCTTCCATATCTTGACTATTGTAAATAATCCTGCTGTAAACATATGGGTGCATATATCTATCTTTTCAAATTACTGTTTTTGTTTTCTTTGGGTGATTACCTTGTAGAGGAATAACTGGATCAACTATTTTAGTTTTTTGAGGAAATTCCATGTTTTTCATAGTGGGCTGCACCAATTTCCGTTCCTGCAAACAGGGCACGATGATTCCCTTTTCTCCATGTCTTCATCAGTACTTGCTATATCTTATTTTTTTCATACTAGCCATCTCACAGGTGTGAGGTACTATCTCATTGTGGGTTTGATTAGCATTTCCCTGAAGATTATTGATATTGAGCATCTTTTCATGTGTCTGTTGGCCATCTGGATGTCTTCTTGGAAAAAATGTCTGTGTAGGTGCTTGTCCCATTTTTGTTTTTAACTTCAGATTGGTTTTTGGTGTTGAGTTGTGTAAGTTCTTTATGTGTCATGGATGTTAACCCTTTATCAGGTGTATCATTTGCAGATGTCTGCCCCCTTTCACTAGATTGCCTTTTTGCTTTGTTGATGGTTTCCTTTGCTATGGAAAAACTTTTATCCCAATGATGCAAGCATAGTTCAATGCTCTAAACCATTTACTGTGATACATCACATTAACAAGAGGAAATATAGAAACCATATGATGATTTCAATAGATGCAGAAAAAAAAATTTGACAAAATGCATTTGTTCATGATAAAAACTTTAGACAAAGTGGGTTTAAAGGGAACATACCTCAAACTAAAAGTCTACATATGAAAAACCCAGAGATAACATCATACTCAGTGTTGAAAACTGAAAGCTTTTCCTCTAAGATCAGGAGCAAGACAAGGATGTTCACTCTCACTACTTTTATTCAACACAGTACTAGAAATCCTAATTGCAGCAGTCAGACAAGAAAAAGAAATAAAAGACATCCAAATTGGTGAGGAAGAAAACTGCCATCATTTGTAGGTGTCATGATACTATATATAGAAACCCTAAACTCTCCACCAAAAAAACTACTAAAACTGATAAATGAATTCAGTGAAGTTGCATCATACAAAATTAATATACTGAAATCTCTTGCATTTTTATACACTAATAACAAAGTAGCAGAAAGAAAGGAAAATAGTTCTATTTATAGTTGCCTCAAAAAAAATTAAAAACTTTAAAATAAATTTAAACAAGGAGATGAAAGACCTGTACTCTGAAAACTGAGACAATGATGAAATAAATCAAAGATGATATAGGCAAAAAGAAAGTTATGTTATGCTTATGGATTGAAAGAATTAATGTCTTTAAACAGTCCATACTATCCAAAGCAATCTACAAATTCATTGCAATCTCTCTTAAAATACCAGTTGCATTTTTCACAGAACTAGACAAATAATCCTAAAATTTATGTGGAATCACAAAAGACTTCTAAGAGTCAAAGCAATCTTGAGAAAAACGAGCATAGCTGGAGGTATCACAACAATACCAGGTTTGAAGGTATATTACAAAGCTGTAGTAATCAAAACTGTGTGGCACAAAAATAGACACATAGATCAGTGGAACAGAATAGAGTCCAGAAATAGCCCCATGTTTTTATGGTCGATTAATGTATGACAACGGAGGCAAGAATGTACAGTGGGGAAAGGAGTCTCTTCAATGAGTGGTGTTGGGAAAACTGGACAGCTACATGGAAAAGAATGAAACTGTACCACTTTCATACGCCACACACAAAAAATAAACTCCAAATGGATTAAAGACCTAAATATGAGACCTGAAGCCATAAAATAACTAGAAGAAACCATAGGCCATAATCTGACATTAGCCTCAGCAATATTTATGGGTATGTCTCCTCAAGCAAGGGAAACAAAAGCAAAAATAAACTATTGGGACTTAAACACCAAAATAATAAGCTTTTGCAAAGCAAAAGAGTAAGTTTTATTTTTAAACTTACAGAGTGAGTGCATTTATAATCAATGGCTGCAATTCTTTTAAACTGGTCTTTGAAACTGATTTTCCCAGCTATATTACTTTGCAGCATGACCTGATAAAGGCAGCACAAAACATTGCAATTGTATGTTTCACAAACTTAAGGAAGAAAGCATTCAAGCCTAGGCTTTAGGAAATTCAGATCCAGACCCAATCCTGCCCTAGGCTATAGAAGGTTAGCTCTTGAGAAAGAGTTCCTACATATTTCCAAAGCAATACTCCCATTGCCTATTAACTGGTAATTTTCAAACTCAGAAACTTAAGTAAAAGAAAATTTTCAAGTCAAAATAAATTAATACCACTTTAAATTCTTTCATGCAACTATTGTTTTCTTTGAGTACATTCTGGGAGTTTAGTACAATTAAGCAATGATTAAACTTGGTGATCATTGAGATGTAACCAGTCTAGGAAGCAATAAACTCTTCTCTTTCTGACAGATTACATTGGTTTGTAGTAGGCACATAAATGAAATACTGTATAGAATAAATATTCCCCACATTTATGAATTACTCATATCCATGGACACAGGAACTACGTTAATATTATTTGGTATGCCCTTAAACTCTTATATATTCTAAATTCCCATAAAAAGAATAATATTCTCTCATTCTGTCTGCCTCATAGAACTGATGAAGGCAATGAAATCTGTTAATTACTTGTATCTCCTAGAAGCTGTAAATTATAATGTAACATTATTAATCATTAAGCTATTGTCACTAATCATTTTATTAGGGAATTACTGCAAAGAACTAGAAATAAATTATGGGGTCTTTGACCGAAAATCCAAACAACATTTTAAATATACAATTACAGGGGCACCTGGGTAGCTCAGTGGGTTAAAGCCTCTGCCTTTGGCTCAGTTCATGATCCTGGGGTCCTGGGATCAAGCCCCACATTGGGCTCTCTGCTCAGTAGGGAGCCTGCTTCCTCCTTTCTCTCTGCCTGCCTCCTACCTACTTGTAATCTCTGTCAAATAAATAAGTAAAATCTTAAAAATAAATAAATAAATATACAATTACAAAGAAATATATTAAAAAGTGCAGTTACTACTTAAAATGAAAATTTGAAAGAACTTCTTTTAAAAACAACCAGTGTATAATTTTCATCAGCAAAGCTTCATTAGTGAGTTAATTGATTAAATATTTCTGGATGTAATGCTTTATAGTTTTAATGCTTATGGTTCTTTTTTTCAGAAGATAAAAACTGAAAGTTTACTTGTCTAGAATTATGAATATGTCATGGCGTCTGTACATGTAGTTTTATGTACTTCACAGAATTAACTTAAAAACATATTAGAAATGTATACTAGAGGGGGCGCTTGGGTGGCTCAATGGGTTAAGCCTCTGCCTTCAGCTCAGGTTGTGATCTCAGGGTCCTGGGATCGAGCCCCACATCGGGCTTCTGCTCAGCAGGGATCCTGCTTCACTCTCTCTGCCTGCTTCTCTGTCTACTTGTGATCTCTCTCTGCCTGCTTCTCTGTCTACTTGTGATCTCTCTCTCTGTCAAATTAAAAAAAAAAAAGAAAGAAAGGTATACTAATGATAAGGGGACAGTAAAATTAGACATTTTGTTCTTACTGTTTGTAAGTAACATTTCTATTAAAAATAACTTTTTAATTAAAATGTCTATTACTTTTTTATGTTAACTTATTCTTATATTTTTATTTATATGTTTAGACCATTTTCCTTGAGTGTAGTCACTGCTAGAGAAAAGTGAGGCATACTTAGGGGAAAGCACAAAGAACTAAACAAAATACACAGAGAACTTTTATGTTTGTAGAATATTCTTAGAATAATTTCAAACTCTTTACCACTCCCCTTCAAAAAAAGACAGTTTTTCTCACTCTTCTCTGTGCTGAGTAACAGGCCTCCTCCAGCTTAGCCACTGTGGTTGGTAGCTTCAATCTGTGTTAGAAAGAAGTGGGGAAAAAAAAAAAAAAGTCAGAATGTGTTTGCCTTGAAAAATGCCCTACAACAGATTTTCCATTTATAGGTAAACTAGCATTCACTATATTTTTGTTGGTTGATAGGTTTTATACAGTTACTTGGAGTAGGATTCTCAGGGCAAAATCTATCATTACTTTGGACTCAAATATATACTGTTAGATATACTGTTAATAGATATTTCAGGGTCAAGTTTTGGGGAAATTCAGAGCCATATCTCCTGATTTCTCACTATAGCTGTTTCCTGAAAAGACACCAGGTGGAATGGTAATACCAGTCATGATGGAGATAAAATGTTGAATTTGTCTCAACATAATGAAAACTATTTGCTTACATAACCAACTGTAATAAATTGGAAACAAAACATTAAGTCAATTGGCATGCTATTCTAGTATCTATTTTGTTAAATTTCAGTGGAAAGTTTTTTTCTAAAAGTCAGTTCTCTAAAGAAGATGCACAGTTGGCCAACAAGCACGTGAAAAACTGCATTTCACTAATCGTTAGGGAAATGCAAATCAAAATTAGAATGAGACACCACCTCATACCCATTAAGGTGGCCACTATTAACAATATATTTATAACAGTTATTATGGAGAAATTGGAAACTGTGTGCACTGTTGATGGAAATGTAAGGTGGTGCAGCCACT